ATGTCACCCTTTGTCGCAGGATCAGGAAGAATAGCCATTTTATCTCGAACGGCATAAGTTTGTGTCAGTCTGGCCAGTTCTCTTTTGCATACGGAATACGAGTTGAAGCTTCGCGTGTCACCACGACAACACGGCACCTTTGCCACCAGCAGCGACCGAGGTCTTGGCCTCTTTGTCGACTCATCAAGTTCGAAGCAGCATAGGCCCTCATTTAACTGATCCTTCTGCTTTGCATAAAAGGTTGGCTGGAATGGAATGCCAAATAAGTATGCCCTAGAGTTGCAAGTGTTGATTCCAGTGAAGCGACCCTCGGTGTCAAGTACTTTTCGGCTAAAATAAACAATAAAAACTGTTAAGCTTCCAAAGACGTCAGGGCAAAGGTCACCTCTAACCGACATTTTATTCAATCCTGCGATTATAGTAACTCGGCCTAACTTATTTTTCCTTACTTTTCGCGGGAAATAGCGGACTAAATGAGTAGTAAATAAGACAAAATAAAAAGCCATTCACTCGATGGATCAAAAATGGCACGTGTCTATTTTATATGATAAAAATTGTACTGATTACTTGCCCTTATACCAGTTCAATTGGAAGAGAAAATATCCGATTAACGTGACGTGACTCTTTTCTTCTGTTGCTTCGGGAAAAATGGAGAATTTTTTGCTGTTTGTTAGTACATTGGACATTGAGTTGCAGCGTAGATCCTTCGGTTTGTCGGAGAGTTGACTTTATAGGAATCGTGATTTCGCCTCATCGGCAAGTTGACCTTGTGGTTGTGATTGTCAACTCGAGTAAAGCAGCTCTTGGTGCAGCATTGGGGGTGGATACGCCAAATAGAACTGTTTTTAGAGGCATCTTTTGGCATTACAAAAGTTGCCTAAACCATCATTTGGCGAAGACAAAGTTTCGATGATTGGTCTCACTTTTTTATCTTGCGTTCAGAAAACTAACAGCAAATATCAACATCATTTGCTTAGGGACGGATAGTCGAGTTTTCCCATACAATCACATAATTTGCTCTCAAAAACAATTGAATCTCTTGGTCTTGCCTCCAAAAAGACTATGTCATTGTTGCAGACGAGAGAAAACAATGCGGACATGGTCTAGTGTCAATTTTCGCAACATGAACCCATCGGTTGGTCGGAAAGTTGTCCCTATAGGAATCGTGATTTTGCCTCATCGGAGAGTTGATTTTGCATTCGTGAATGTCGACTCAAATGAGGCAATTGTTAGTGCAGCGTTGGGAGCGGATGCGCATTGTGGTGCGGGGTTAAAATCGACGATCAAGTCGGGTTCCGACAAGACCAGTCTTGAGTGAGTCCTGTTAGGATCGGCAGCCATGGATACTCGGACTGTCTGGTAGTGACAAGCCGACCTCGAATCCCGTTGGGATTCAGGGCTAGGGCCTTGTGTGTTCATCCCCATTTTTATCACCTCTTCGCCTCTTGCCATTTGTGACAATTTAACTCATCCTTTCGCATCCATTCCAGCTTCATCGGCCCACATTTCCGGTCTCGCAGACGCCCAAACCTCTCTATTCTGTCCACCCACCCAGCGGGTCGACTCCAACCTGTACCTCACCCGCCCTGTCCAGCAGCGTCGAGGCCAGCTCTTCCTTCGCCACAACTCGCGCCTCTCTCTCGCCCTATCCGCAGACTCCGCCAGCCATGTTTACCGGCTATCCAGTCGCCGGAATGATGTCCGTCAACTCGTCAGCCTCTGTTGCCACGGCTACACACACCACAACAGCCACAACTGCCTCGGTTTATCCTGCCTTCCATCCTCCAACTTGCCTTTGTTCGAGTCTCTTGTCAACTGGTTTGTCGTTGCGCGGTGGACCGAGCGTCTTCACCGGCAGTCCGACGCCCCCGTACGACGCCCACTCAGGGATTCAGGCTCACAGCCTCCTCCTCTTGCCCCCCGCGTCACCCCCTCCCTCCTCTTCATCTTCCTCCTCCTCTTCTTCCTCCTCCTGCTCTTCATCTTCACCCTTTGCCTTGAGCACAAACGGCCAGCCTCCGCCCGCTCACAGCGCAGTCGCCCTGGCCTCGGACCCGGCCTCGAGCGCGGCCTCGAACCCGGCCTCGGACTCGGCTCCCGAGCAGTTGGGCACGGCGAGTTTACAACTCGCCTTCCTTTCGGGCCTGACTGCGGCAGCAGCCGCAGCCGCTGCTGCTGCTGCCGTGGCGTCAACGTCGACGTCGACGTCAACGTCAACGTCAACGTCAACGTCTTCAGCGTCGTCCGAATCACCGTCAGGCCTGCTCGAGTTCTGTGAGTCCGAGCATCGACTCGGCCAGACTCCGCCCGTCTGTCTGTACCAACCGGTGAGTGGACTCGGCTTCAACGTTGGCCCGAACCAACTGGTCGAGGCGGTTGGCGACGAGCCACGCCAACGCCATGATCGACTCAGCCAAGATGAGATGGTCATGGAGGAGGTGAAGGGTCTGCTGGAGGCGGGCTCGTTCGGCTGTCCTCTCCTGTCGGAGGCCGATTTGCTCAACATGTCCGGCAATACGGGCCCTGGCAACAACATAGCCTTAGCCATGGCAACGGCCCTCCAGCAGTCGCTGGCCGTGGCTGCGGTCGGCGGCCTTCCTCTCTCCAGTCTGGCAGCTCTTTACTCCGCAGCCGCCGGCTCCGGCTTGCCGCCGCCGCCGCTTCACGCAAGCTCGAGTCCCACTTCCGATTTGAGCGGTGCCACGGCGACGTCAAATGCGACGGCGGCAGCAGCAGCCGCTGCCGCCGCCGCCTATTGCTCTTCTCATCTCTTCCTGCAGACCGGCCAGGCGACCACCAGACAATCGCAGATGGAAGACTTGGCTCATCTCCAGGCCCTGGCCAAGCCGATATCGGTTTTAGCGGGTGTCGAAGCGAAGACAGCTTCCTTTACCTCCTCTTCCTCATCATCTTCTTCCTCCTCATCGTCTTCTTCTTCTTCCTCCTCTTCCTCCTCTTCTTCCTCCTCCTCCTCCTCATCCGCACCCTCGTTGCCGGCCTCCGGCTCCAGTTGCCCGGAGGCTCCGGGTCTGTTGTTGTCCCGGTCAGTGAAGATGGCCTCACGACAGTCTCTCCAGCCTTCCAATTACCCTCTGGCCGCGTCTTTACCCCCGATTGGTCCATCTCCATCACCACTGCCACCGCCACCAGCATCGGCGCCGAACGCCGGTCCTCTGGCCCGACAACTAGCCCCATTGTTGCCACCCCTGCCCGGCCTAGGCTCGGGGGTCATGAGTCTGGCATTCAAGTCAGAGGAACGATTTCCGCAGACAGGACATTCGGCCACGGGACAAAGCAACGATGACAGTGACGCAAGTGGAGAGCTCGAGACTGCGTCATTTCTTGAAGTCCCGGTAAAGACGACTATGCCCAATCAATCCTCTCACCTTGACCCGAATAAGTAGACTTGAAGGCTGTCCGTAATGCTTTAGCAAAAAATTGACGATATAATGTGGTTTAAGAAGTGATAGTCGAGTTTTCCCATACAATCACATGAGCAGTCCTCAGAAAACAGTTGAATCTCCCTTGGCTTTGAATATATGAAGACGAAGATGTTGTGGCCTCTGTTATGGTCGCAGTCTCCTTTTGAGTTATAGAAGTCCACCCGACAACAAGACCAAGTTGCGACAAGGAGGTCAAGCCACTTCTGCCTTGGTTTTGCCTCACAAAAGACTATTACATGCTTTTAGATGAGCACAGATAATGCGGATGTGGTCGAATGTCGATTTACTTCTCTACATGATCTCTTTTGTCAGCATGCCAAAGTAAAAAAAGAATTGGATTACGAGGAATCTTTAAGTAAAGAAGAATTGAAAAAATTTGCGACTTGACCTCATTTTATTTTATTTGGCTCATAAAACTAACAACTCTCGGTCCCTTGAGGATAGATATTCGAGGTTTCTTGCCTTCATATAAGTAGATCCCACAAAACCATTGAATTTTACAGGCCAGGCCCATTCTAATTGCCAATTAATCAGCCATAATTGTCGATAGGACAAATTTGTATTTGATATTAAAAGTAAGAAGGCTAAATATTCAATAAGCATAGGAATTTAGTCAGCCTAGGTCGTTTAAAATGCTTTAGGGACGGATAGTGAGTTTTTGCACAATTAGGTCTATTTCGCTTTGCCTTGCCTCCCAAAAGGCTATTTCATGCTTGCAAATGAGAGAAGGTGATACAGTTGAGGTTTCCTTTGCTTTAGAAGTGGCTTGACCTCGTTGTCACAACTTGTTCTTGTTGTCAGGGCGACGTAGTACAACGCACCTAGTCCGAAGTCGTCTGCCACAGTAGTTGTCATGATTCCCAGCATCAGACACTGGACTAGGTACATTCTCAAACGTTTCGCCGGCATCGTAGTCGGCATCATCAGTTAGTTTTGCCATTCGCCGCACCAAG